TGCAGCCTGAAAACAGTGGCCCAGAGAGCTGCCTGTATGACCTCGTGGCTGTGGTTGTGCATCACGGCTCAGGGTGAGTACATGGAGCCAGCCTGGCACAGACCTTCTCCCACTTAGGTGCATGCAGAGATAATGAAGGGGTTTCTGTCCCTGGGACATGTATTTTAACTGGGGGAAATAAGCCATAGTTTATAAGCTGGCAGGGAGCTAAGCTGAGTTAATTTTGATAGGTCCAATAGAGTCAGGCCTGTGAATGTCCCCTGGCAGCCTTTGGGGTTAATGACTACATGTGTGAGATAAAATGAAAATAGTCTAGTGCCTCTACAAATAAAAAAGCGCTAAACCAAGAGAAGGAGTCAGAAGGCCTTCCAGGAAATAATGTCTCATTTTGAAATTCTTACTACAAAACAGGATTATTTTTTCCTCTTTTTATTCATATTGGAAGGTACATTTGCATTTATGCTAAGGAAGTGTACGAGCATGCTTGGAACAACTGCCATCCAAAAATGTGTATGGTGAAAAAGATCATCACCATTACCTTTCCTGTCACAGCAGTGAAGGCTCACAGGCATGCCCAGGGATGGAGCTGGGCATATTTTGAATTAAAGTCACTGGGAGTCTTTTAACTTTTCCCAGCCCTGGACAGATCTGTTGAGAGTAACAGTAGAAGGGACAAGACAATGTGTTCTTGTAGACTTTAATTTGAAGAACTTTAAGCCCCACAGCTCCAAAAGAGAAGCACTGGCTGTGCAGGCCTGTGGGTACCTTCCTTAGGTTGCTGGCAGTCCCTTAACCCCAGGAGACGGTGCCTCAGTGAAGAGTGTCCCTGACTGTTGTCCCTCTGCCTGCTCCACAGCGTTGGTTCTGGCCACTACACAGCGTATGCAGCGCACGAGGGCCGCTGGTTCCACTTCAATGACAGTACCGTAACACTGACCGATGAGGAGACTGTGGGTAAGGCCAAAGCCTACATCCTCTTCTATGTGGAGCGCCAAGCCAAGCCTGGAGCAGAGAAACTTTAATACCTCCTTTGCATTCTTACTTACCAAGTCCACCGGAGAAACATTTCCATTTTTCCATAAATACTTGATCCAAGACTTATTAATTTCATTGTGCACTTTGCAATTTCCTCTTGTGAGTTTTTGTTTTGTTGTGTCAATGGTAGCATTTGACTTACTGAACTTGGACACAAACTAACTTTTTTTTTAGTTATACCAGAAAACCTCAGCAGATTTTGATTTGCTGCTTTAGTTGTGATAACTCACTTTTTATATATATATAGTTTCATGAAATACTTATTTGACTTTTTTGTAGTAATATTTTCAGTTCTCACTTTCTAAAGGCACATTTACATCAAAAAACTCTGTCCTCCTTACAAGCAAGATAAATATGCTTTTGATCATGAAAAGCAATACAACTTTATGCTGTTCTCAGTCCTATTATGTAGATAGGATTTAATCTCTTTAAATCAAGGAATTGTTTGCACGTATTATTTTTTCCCTTGTGCAAGAAACTTAAACAGTGACCTATCATCCTTTGTCTGCAGAAGAGAGGCAATATAACATCATTAAATAGACCAGGTAATTGCTGCTGTATTGGTGTGTATTCAGGTTGATGACTTTCAGGAATCATTGTAAATAAAGAGTTGATTTAATTATATCAATACTGCAATTTAATTACAGTACTCCTCAGATATGCTGCCCCCTACCGCCTGCATATTTAAAACAATTATATTTACCTGTCTAAATTATGTTGCCCTTTATGGTTTTATAACTGAACCTGAATTGCATTAGACATCTCTTGGTTTAGATTGTCATCCTGAAATTGGATCATGAACACTTATGTGCTTGAAAACTGGGGAGACGTCCTGGCAGTAGAATCCCAATAGAACCCCTTAGTTCCTGGTGGGAATTGGAAGTACCCCAAGTGCTGGGGTTTGTGAGAACAGGCATAGGTCTAAATGCAGCTCTGCTCCATGGCTACAGTTCACTTGGAAGCAGGAGGAGACAGATTGTGTTGCAGGTGCTTTGCATGAAATTGTTCTGTCAGTTCAAATGCAAACTCAAGGGAGGATGCTCCGTCTCTCACAGTAGAGCCTTCAGAAGGAAAGTGCTAAGCCAAGCATGCTTGTGACTGTAGCAGGCTCACAGAGCTCCTGTGGCATTTTACACACTGGCCCAGGGTGGCATTTTTGTTCAGTCTCCAAGTGAACACTGGAGTCACAGTGCAGTTTCTAAAACCTGGCTACATAAAAGAGAAAAACTATGCTTAAAAAACCCAAACCAGTTTTAGCTCTACTGCTGATGAGTGGAAGTCGGCTATTACGATGGGAAAGGCAGACAGGAAAACTCACTACTGCCAAAGCTGTAGTGGAATCTGACAGAAAACATGAAATTTGAGAACTATTGTATTTCATATCTGTTCCCTCAGTCTCTCCTTTCTAGCTGGCTCTCTTGTACCAAGCAAGGAGCTGGACCTCCTGAAAGATCAGTTAAGAGAAGAATAGTTTGTGGAGAGTTCCACCACCAAACAGCAGCTCTTACTTGTGTTTACTAAAAAATGCAGTTGTCTGAAAACTCCAACTGGGAGTGCTATTTTAGTTAATGCCCCTGAAGGACAGGGAGTGGGGGCTAGAGTGGAGCCCAGAGCCAACCTGGGGCACAGGGAGTGCACAGCAGTGCCTTGCCCTGGGGTCCTGCTGGCTGTTCACAGGCCAGGGTAAGGAGAAATCACAATCAAGCATTTGGTACAGAGGCATTCTTGGGAGCTTTATCAGACCATCTTAAACCAGGAAAGGGAGAAATTGGCTTAATCTAAAACTGTGGAAATTGTTCAGTATAGCTAATGGGTTTTGAGTATGTACACAGGTTAAGACTATAGTTATTTGATATAGTGACATCTTTATAAGGATGTTGTCTTTTACTTGAACATTAAACAAGTTGAACAGTAACTAGAACTTGTCATTGCTTTAAGCTGTAGATAGTTTGTCACCTTCCCTTCCTTACAGGCAGGCAGTCTTTCTTCTAATCAATGAAAATAGGTTACTGATACTTACATAAGCAGAAAACAGAAAGGTAAAGCATTGTATCACATCCCTGCCCTTCCTGCTGCTCACAGGTAGCTGCGCAGATATCACCTTTAGCTGTGTTTTCTCTGCATGCTGCTTGGACCGGATTTCTTTAGAATTTACCTTTGAGAATGCCATGTTTAAAATACACAACTATCTCAGCACCAGCAGCAGTTTAACTTACAGTAGTCAGGTGTATGCAGTATTCTTGCAAAAGTGATGTAAATGTGCCTTTCTGTATTTTTAGAAATTTAAATTTGTAATCTTCAGCAACATTCACTTATTTTAATCGCCTTGTCAGCAATTGTTTGGATCAGGGTTACGTTCTCATTTGAGCATTTTCTTTCAGTCCCATTTACTGTGTCCCACACAGCTCCTGGGCAGTGGTGTCTCCAGCAGGGCCATGTGGGGCTGGTCTGGGAATACGATGCAATCACAGGAGGCTGTCCTTGCAGCATGTGCTGCTCAGGACTCAGCCATATGCTTTGCTGGAACAAGTACATTGTAAATCCTTTCCTAATTTAACTTTCTCCCACTGCAAACTCAGATGGACAGTATGAACAGTTTGTTGTGGCAACACAAGTATTTCTCTTCCTGGTGGAGAACTTTGCTTATCCACTGTATTCTATTCAGTGTGGTGTCAAAAGAAAAAAGTAACTGAGCACTGAAACCAGTAACATATACTGCACCTGGCCTAGTATTACCTTTTTAACCTAGCTTGAATATCCTATGTTTACCTACTCGATTGTGGTGGGGAATATCTCTTTCATTTAAGCCAGAAGGTTTTTTTCTACTTACTGCTCATCATAGTACACACTAGCTAGCAAGAATTTTTTTTCTTGCTTGAGACTGCTCTGTAAGCAGCAACTGCTATCTACAGTTCAAAGACTTGCATCTTTTTCACCAAAATGTGTCCTATCAAAGGTTGTCCTTTTGTTACTGATTGTTTAGCCACGTATACAACTGGAGCCATTATTTATGTCAATCAAAACTAGAAAATGTCCAGTTCCTAAATGTCAGCAAGAGAGGAGAGTTTAAAAGTTTGAGACAGGAGAAGGGATAGTGGATTTGTATCAAAAACAGGAGGCCATTTATAAAGATTTTACTAAATCAGTGGGAAGTGTAACACGTGGTGTTAAGAATTCCCCCAGCAATGTTTCATGACTGATGTGTCTGTGTCTTACTGATGAGATAATGGGCACCTTGACAGCTGATTCCAACATGCTTTAGGATATTCTCAAGTACTGTAGTGCCATAGTTGTAATTGTTTACCATTAAAATCTTGTGTGTAATTTTCAGTGAGGATTACTGACTGTGCTCATCTTGTGTGTTTCTGGAGCATTTCCAGGATGAATGTGAATTATATCTCATCACATACTGTGTTTATGGAAAACGTGCCATTAAAGTGTCTCCTTTCCTTAGAAAATGAAACTTCTCTTGTCCTTCTGCAGGCTTGCAGAACATTGGTGTATGTCCTCTGAACACAAATTGCAGAATACTGTATCATGCTCTGGGAAAAAAAAAAATAAAGCAATTGCAGTGTTCCTAACTCTGTAACACCTCTACCAAACTTAGCACCTAACCCAGAGTGGACCTGCCATTCCATTTTAAATGCCTTGTCACCCGACTGCTGTTAATTTTTATGTCAGATTGTGGTGTGTCCCCTCTGTCTGGCAAGAGTCCATCTTAGGACATCCTTGTCATTCAACTTTGCTAGATTGTTGATTTTTTTGTTAAATTGGAGGGGGCGGGGGGTGTTAATTAGTATTTTGTTAAATGGCATTCCTGTATGTATAACTCTGACAAGTCTCAACTGTTTAAATTTTCTCAAAAACAAAGGTAAGTTCTTGAGAGTTGAAAATGCTAATACAGGAATGAAGAACAGCTGCAGGCACATATTTTAAGCTGCCGTTTTCCAGTAAATTGCATTACCATATATGTGAAATCTTCTTGTCCCTTTTGTGGCATTGACCAGGGCTGTTTCTGAAAGGGGGAGGGAGAACAGCAATCTCATTATCATTTCAAAGAAAAGATTAAATGACAAAGGATATAAAACCAAGAAGATCGGCAATTGTTAAATACAGCTTACTGTAGATAGTAGAAAGTTACTAACTAAAGAATGAAGCAGAAAGAATTGCCATTTCTTTATGTATGCCAGCTGTGTTCAGACACACAGTCAGGCAATTCCTCAGGCTATGATTGTTGCAGACTCCAAACAAATCTTAGATCTTGTTTTTCAGAGTTAAATTTTAAACTGCATTCTTGGGGTAAGAAGGAAGAGGTAAAAATGGGTCACACTCAACCTTGTCCTGTATTAAAACACTCCTAATTAAAATGCCATAAAGCCTCCCAGCTACTATTTGTGTGTAGGCCACGTGAAAAACTCCCCCAGTGCTGTTTGCTGTAACTTCTTACGGATTTGTTGAATGTATTTATTCTCTTGTATTAACACCAGGCAGAAAGTGACTATAAAATACCTTCATCTCAAGCATTTTTGATTCACAAGCTGGAAAGTTAAAGGGATGCTTATTGCTTTGAATTCCAACCTGCCCTTGCTGTAGCTTTATTGTTCTTCTAGGAACAACTTTCTGCTACACTTTCTCCAATTTCTGTACAACAGCAACTTTTACCTGGAAAACCACTTTCATATCTCCTTATTCCACCAAAGGGTGGAAAAAACGATTTCTGTGGTAATGGAACTAAACCTACAAAAGCAGAACAGCCAAACTTGTAAAACTCAAGCCAATAGAAGACATCTATTAAAAGCACAAGCCCACAAGGAACTAAACATAGCCTTGCTGTTCCCATGCATGGCTGCCTCTGTGTCATTGCTTCCCTCCTGCAGAAGGTGGGGACACGGCCAGCTTTGTTTATAGAATCACAACTCAGCCTCAGATAACTGTGGGCAGGAAACTGTCCCTACCGCTGGGGCTTGTGAACTGAACTGCAGACTGCGTGTGTGCTTCAAGGCACCTAGAGAATGTTTCAGCTCCTTCTAAAAAACTGTTTATGAAAGTTCCATGTAACAATCCTTGAACATGAACCAAATGTGCAACCTCAGAAAAATCAATGAACAAATAGAGAGTAGAAGTGTGCTCTGCCAAACTAAAGTGCAGCTCAGCCAAATCTCCTGAATGGGGAACACTGACAAAGATACGCCTGGCAGCTGTAGCTACAGCCCCACCCCACTTCAGAAACTCAGCACAAGAACTTTGCTAAACTTCAGGAGAGTCTACAAGGGGGAAAAGAAATCCCTTTTAAGGAAGCATTTAATGACAATCAAATTGTACATGCCCATTCCATTCCCTTGGACAAAGGAAGCAGAAACTACTTACATGGTTCTTTTCCTTTCCCTGTTCTGAGCTTCTGCACCAGTTGTTAGCCAAAAATAAACCCCATTCCACAACCATATATGTGCAACAGCCTCCTGGTGAATGTGAACCCCCTCCAGCACTGCTGTTTTACTCCACCAGGCCAAGACACAGTGCCACTGCTGCAATGCACATAACCCAGCTCAACTGGGAATGCCTTTTACATCTCTTCTCTTTTCTGGACAAAAACAGTAGGAAAAATCTAGCAAAAACATGTCACAAGTTACTAGAAGTATTTCAGGATCCTTTACTGTGGTCTTCGTTGAACTTTCATTCTCCAGTGGAACTAAAGAAGGACAATTTTCTCCTGGGACCTGCTTTAAAACACTTAACCATCTGCTGGTATTCGGAGAGAGTCAAGGTGTGTAACATTGAGGATTGGATGAAAAGCAGTTTCCAGAAAGACTTCTGTAAGAGGCATGAGAACACTGTCAGCGACTTTTTACTAGATGTTTGCAACAGGTACGTTCTGTGGGTGTCAGTGTGCAGTAACTGCCTTGAGGTGAGTGAAGTCCATAACCCTTGCCTGAAATAGAGCATGAAGTACACGAGTGCTTTGCCTTTACAACTGTAGTGTAAGTTCATTTTAGAGTGGCAATTTCTAGCTTTCCCTTAAGTCTATGTTTTCCTTCTTTTTTCCAAAGAATTAGTTATTATTATGGGAAAGTGTACTACTCCTGCCTCCCATACTGCTACTCAGCTAAACTACACCATTCCGGCAGTGTCTGGAGGGTGCCTGGAGCAGAGCCCTGATTTCAAACAGTGAACACACCTCATTACAACCAACTTCAATTAACATGTTACTAAGTGTCAGCTTTAGTTCAGTCTAAAAAGGAAATATTGCTATTATACTGAAGTTTAAACTCCTAGCTGCTTCTAAACTGCACTGAGGGAAGAGAAATGCCACCACGGAAAAGCAGCCCTATAGGTACACAGCTTTTCCTTCACAGCTCTGCTGGTGCAAGGCAGCTCTGAGGAAGGAGCAGAGCAGCAGTAGGAGTAGGCTCACAGGGTAGAGCAAGTCCCACTGTGTGTGGGTTACACCAGGGCTGGCTTGGTCCTAAAGCAGAGCCAAGGGGCCACAGCAGTGGCTCCCCAACATGGTGCACCTGTGCCACAACCCTCAGCTGTGGAACAAAAACTGAAAAAATTATGGGATAGTGACAGGAGAAAGCCAGCAGCAGTGCAATCTCAAAACAAGGACTGAAAAGCAGCTTCAAAATTGATTAAATTGCAAGTGCCAGATTTCTAAGTAAATGTTTTAGAACAATTGATAAATATCTGGATTAATTAAGGAGGAATCAGCACACCTGTGCCTACAAAGGATAATACAGGGTCCTACCTCTTTTTGCTGCAACCCACTGAAAGCATGCCCAGTCAAAATTCCTAGCACTGTGTACAAAGAAAAATGCAAATTAAATATCCAGCTTTCTCCTCCTACTGCTCCTAACAGAAAAGAGTTAAAAGAAAAAAAAAAAATCTGTCTAGAGGTCTCACAAGAGCAACATTAACACAGACCTGTGTGTGATGTTCTGTTTAGCTAGATGGATGTTGAATTGCTACTGCCTGGAAAGGGGGCTGAGTGAGGAGCCAGACATGGCACATGTTTGCAGGCTGCTGCACAGGGCCGTGCTCAGCACAGCAGCTGCTCCAGGACAGCTGCACTGCATCAAGACCCCACTGCGGACAGGCCTTTCCTATACTTCCCCAGGCCTACTCAAGCAGCAAAAAAAAGCTCTTTTCATTTGCTGCATCATTGTTTATAACAGAGTTACCAGCTTCAGTGACTCAAAGGAAAGTTTAAGAGCCGAGTGGGGTTCAAACATCAAACACTCTTTAGGAAGCAGCTGGCACCTATTTAGTAAATCCAAAGATATAAAATATACCTGTAATTCCTGAAAATTAGGAGTGGGAGTGCCTTACTTGCTCACACTCAGCATGTCTGCACAGCAGTCTCTTCTCAGTTGTCCTCCACTTCATCCTGAAATTAATCTCCTCTCTGCTGGGTCTCCACTGTGCTTGGAGAAGCACAGCACCATCCAACTCTTTAAGAAAAAATTATGCAACCACAGTTTAAATAGGCCTTCACATGCCACTGTGCCAGCTGAGCCAGAGATGTTGCTACTAACAGAAAAAGCAAAGGAGGTAAGCTTTGTGTTTAGTTAAGCTGAACATTTAAGATCTACATGTGCACTCACCTACTTGTGCCTCCTTGCCCCTCCTGATGAAGGAGACATTTTTCCAGCCTTCATATTTATTCTTGATGCTATTAGCTTCTGCAAGCTCTATGATTTATTTCTCCCATCTCATCTGTCACCATCCTGCTTTCAGATGTCCAAATCTGCTGTCTCTGACCCTCTCTGGATGTGGCCATGTTACAGATAACTGCATTTTGCAGCTTCTCAAGAACTGCCCAAACCTGAAGAGCCTCAAACTGGAGAACTGTGTGCAGATCACTGACCACACCCTGGAGTCAGTGAGTCTCCACGGGGCATCGCTGCGAACACTCCATGTGGATTTCTGTCGCAATGTAACACAAGCAGGGCTAGAGAGAGTCAGAGAAAAGTGTCCTTCAGTAATGCTGAGAGCAGAGAGAAGTGGTAGCATGATCCCAGACAGTAAGCCAGAAAGAAAGCTGATGCTTGAAAAAGCATCAAGAAAATTGGTTCAGCTCTAAAGTGTGGGTATTTTACCCCACTGAGCTAGCAATGAACTGTCGCTACTTCCATGGGTTCTGGTCAAGCCCAAACAAATGGTTGTTTTGTAAAAGGAAAAGACATGCATCTCCTCCTGGACGGGCTTCAGGAAGAAACTGTTTCCTCTCTGATGTTCCTTGAAACTGGCAAACCCTGCATTGCTGTCACAAAATGCCAGATCTGCTGAAAACTGCAGTTCTGGTACCCTCCTGCTGCAGATGCACCTCACTGAGAAGAGGGAAACAGCAGTGTGTTTATTGAGGCTAAATAATTTGATAGAGTTCAATAAATTTTATGAACTTTTACAGAAGTTTAACAGTAGTTTGACACGGTGCAATAAGTTTGATGGCAAGGTTCACTGACTGCATGAAAGAAACACAGAGTGAACTGAGGCAGAATGAGCCACACAGGGACCTGAGAACACAAATATTAAGGAAGAGCCTCTCACTGCGTCACGAGGTTCAGATTGGACCCTGCACTTTCAAAACTCCTTATGTAATGGGCAAGGGCAGAAAGCCACATCAGAGAGAGCATGAGTTACTGTAGTACTTTCACAACTTTGAAAACAAGAGTGATTAACTTCTGTTAAAGGGTATTACCAGGCAGTCGTTCCAACCACTAAGGAGGATAACCACTCCCTGAAACATCTTTCTAGCAAAAGCAGAGTACTGACCACCAGCACCTCAGTGATTAACAGTGGCAGTTAATTTACCAGCCTTTTTTAGTTAATGCGGGAAGCATGGATTCAAGGCACACAAAACACAGTTAGACCCTCTGCATGATGTACTTACATAATAAAAGATGCACCAAGTTATTTTTTTAAAGCTGACATTAAAGGAAGTGCAATCTGAACAAGTGCTAGTTCAGAGAACTAATCCACAAGAAAATTCAGTGGCTAACAGCCTGTAGCATTAAATGCTAAATTAGGAACGCAGTACAGACCAGCTGTACATAAATACCCATTTCTCACTGCAAAGTACAAAACCAGTAGCTATTTTCATCCCAAAGCACAAGGCTGTCTCCTTCCTGCACACTGGTCTATCTGGAAGTGAAACTATTTTTACATACTTTTGAAACTGTGCTACCACCTACAAAATTTGACACCAAAGAGGACTTTACAGCTCTCAACATAATTGAATATACTTACTTCTCCTTCTGATCCTGGTTAATTGATCCACAGATATACTTGGCACATTCTAATTAGGCTGAGGTAAGAAACAAATCACAGCATTACAGCAACTTAAGTCAAACAATGCTGCAATTCTAGAGAAATACTTGATCAGTATGAGCATCTGTAAGAAACACTCAACCAGAAAATCAATGAGGAAAATAAATTATTCCATCTTCGTTACTTAGCAATATTTAACAGTATGACACTTTAAATGTGGTATTTCATTAACTCCTTCCTAAAGTTCAAGTAGGACCCTTATGCACCACAAGGTAAGGAAGAAAACTGGAAGTGTGGGTAAGGAGACACAGCAATCCTCACCCAGCACTGACAGCTATGAAAGGACATTGCTGAGCTGAACAAATTTACTGTGATGTGTAAATTGGGAAGCTGACACAACTTGCTCCTGGGATACACAACAACGGTTCCACACACTGCCGAGAAGCCAAAACAAAGCATGAACTTACACAGTCACTGCAGCAAGCAAAGACTTCCTCATGTCACCAGCTCTCCCAGCACTCTGTGGTGAAAGACATGTCTCTGTAGTTCTAACAGGAACAGATTTTCAAATAGCTAAAAGATATGAAAGCACATTTGCATGTGTCTACATATTACTTAAGCCTTTTTACCAGTTTTCTACCAGGACTGGAGAGGGGAGGGGGAGGTGTTTGGGGCAGCATGGGAAGAGGAGTTCCAAGCCATTAAAGTTCCATCAAGAACAAACCTTTAATTAACAGCTCCTGTGAGTTTACTGTAAACTGCCTCCAAGAAGGTCTTCATTATGGAGAAAGCTAACTGCACAGTCCTCATAAAACTGCCATTTTCACAGGCACAATTCTGTAATTTCCTGTGCTGAATGAAACAGGCTGACAAAATCAGTGCCACTCAGTCAGACACATCCATGAGGTGCAGAAGGCAATAATACAGGACTTAATACAGAACTTTCCCCATTTGTTTAAATACTGTATTTTTTACCTAATAAACCTACACATTTAGACCAAGATGTGACTATGCATCCTCACAACACAGTCATGGGACACCTGCATCTCAGTCCAGTTTGAAGCCTAATACACAATAAGGCAGGAAATGAAGTCTGCATGACTTCAGAGCCCTGAGAAGCTCCTTCCCCCAACTCTTGATACCCCTCTAATGTGTCACTCTGCAGTGTGGTCTCTGATCATATCATAGCTAGGCTTTTGGCTTTTTCAAGAGCCAATATATAGTACTGGGAACTTCACCAGATAGAACCCAGATATGCAAATTTTTACAGCTTACTAAGCTCTCCGTCTGAGCACTGTCAGTTGGCAGCAATACAGCAGCTCAGTCTTGGACACAAGGAAATTAATTTCCCAATCAATCCTTGTTAACGTATAATAGGCACATGAGAGAAAGTAATAGGTATTTCTACCCTACACTCCATACTCAGATGGACCAACCTTGCCCCAAAATGAGATGACACTAATAAACATTTTCACCAGCCCTCAGTCCCAACAGCATCATCCCAAGGAGTTGAGGGAGGAAGAAATGGAGCAGAGGGGAAATGGAGCAGAGCAGCTCTGACTCGCCAGGGGACAGCCTCTCCCCTTTTCCTTCCCCAGGTACATCCTGCTCTGAACACCAAGCAGTGTTTGACATCAATGATGTCTTTCATAGAGACAACAGGCAATTACATATTGTCTAGCACTCTCCTAAGGAACAGAGCAGAGATGTCCTTGTGCAGTACACTGCTGTCCTATCCAAACAGGAGCATCAATCACTGTGTAAGTCAAACTGTGCTGATCACAATAGTTACAGCTGAGACAAAGTGAGACCAAAGGCAGCACTAAAAATGTGAATAAAATCCACAGCCTTGACTACTACCCTGTCCTGTGGTAGACTGTTGTTTTGCAGTTTGTTCTTCTGTAATACATTTTAAATATTCCTTGTTACAAGTTTGTAATTGTTCATTCCATGTACCCCATTTGGCTTCCCTGATGGTTCAGCCCTGAGTTGTTTACCCCAAGATTCTCCTGCCATACACCTGTCAATCTTCTTGTACCTCCTTTGTTCCCTTCTGCAATGTTCCTGTCCTTCATCCCTTCCTCAAAGCAAGACTGGGGTGCAGGGTTTGCTTCTATTGGATAGCCCTTTCCCTGCAACCCTCCCCTAATGCCTTCCTAAAAGGTTGCGTCCTCCCCTTATTCCCACCTCTCCTTAAAAGCAGCTTTTTGCCCCTAGTTGTTGTCACTTGTCCCTGACTCCTCTGGGGAATAAAACTTCCTTGAAACTCAAACAAGGACGCTTCTCTATTCCTTTGCCTTGGTTTCTCATACTGTGTTGCTGCTGTGTTCCCACACTACAACCGTCGCTGCAGGGAGTTGCGAGCCCCTGTATGCACCGCCAGCCGGGGGAGCTCCGTAGAGATCCAGGGGCAGCCCCTCTTGTGACTGCACACCGGTCTGGGGAGTGAGCTGGCTGGAGAATGTCTCCCTTGTGACCGCAGTGCACAGTTACACCATCCTTTCCATTTTAATTTTTGTGTACTCTGAGCAGGAGTCAACTATATCAACGTGTCCATTAAAAATATTATTTTGCTCAAAATATTTAAAGTTTTCTGCATCAAGGCAGCAGCATGCTTTTACTGTCAACAACTACTATGGAGGAGCAAAATGTTTAAACAAAAAGCAAGAAGGAACCAAGCAGAGCATGAACTTGTATTGTAGTACAAGGAATGAACAGCAGTACAACCAACCAGCCAGGGCCTTAGGCCAGGAGAAGGCAGAGCATGGGGCTACACAGCACAGTCCAGCAGGGTGAACATTTTAACATGCTTCAAATGTAACACCCTGTCTCAACACTGTAAGACTATAATTTTCTGAGACAAAACATAAAAGTATGAAGCTTGAGTAAACCAATCACAGTTCACAAATCCATACAAGAAGTTGAGTCTTGAATTTGCTTTATTTTTCTCTGCAGAAGAAACCCTGCACAGGCAATTCAAATTAAGACAAAATAAATATGTGAATATTCATGTAAAACTGTCCTGGCTAATGAATAATTATACACAATGTACAACTCTTCATGTTCACTGGGAAGGTTTACAAATGTACTATTCCCAACAAAAATGCACCAAAATGTCTCCATGCAAACTTATCAAAAGTGACCAAAAAAGGAGAAAAAACTTACCAATCATACTTTTTTGTTTTGTTTTTCCTTTTTTCTTTTTTACAATCACAAAAAATAAAAACATCTAATTTTTTGTTACATTTAGAGTAACTGAAATGTGGCCACCATCTATTAAGATCTGGTTTTATGTTCCTAAAACATCTATGATTACTGCAAAATTATATCAACGATGAATTGGACTTAGGGCACTATTTGTAGTAAAAGGAAGATGATTTTGTTCACAGAATGTTAATAATCTGTGTCTGAGCCCTCTGCATTGTCCACATTCCGGGAGAGCATGTAATTGTCCATGTCTATAGACCTGCAATTATTGATTGCATAGCGCAAACGCTCTGCCATAATTACTTGACTGGAGTAAGGTGGGAGCCTCAGCTGAAAGAAACAAGTCTGTGAGGTAGGCAAGCTGTCGTAAGGCTGTGGAAACAGATAAAAGGTGGGACATTGGTAAGTTGTGAATGAAGTTAAAAATGCAACAATATCCACATTTCATTGCTACTTGCCTCTATCATTTTCACGTTCTATCTCAAATTCCTTTAAAGAAGCAGTTTGACCTCCCTTGTTTACAGCATTTGTTCCACCCTCAAGTACATCCAAAACCTCAGTAGCCTACTCTGCAAGTAATACAACCCACTAATGAATTCAGCCTTTTGAAAAGTTGATCACACTGGTGTTTAGAAGCCCGCTGCTAGATACCAATGATCAAATTACATACCATAGTGTGCATAAGGCAACCTGAGAGACACCTATCCAAATATGACAAACAAACCCCTGTTAGCTAAGATTTTGTCAAGTTTTTTGTTCATGTTGTTCACAGAGAATGTGCTTTCACTGCACAAAACCCCAAATTAATGCATCCTGTATGTAAAACAATATACTGGTAAACTCATTGCAGTGGTTTTAAAACACGAAGAATTCACTAGTGATCATATGATGCCACTTGCACGACATTAAAAACAGAAAGAAAATTACTAAATGAAAAGAGATTGGAACAATTACAGTAGACAATGTTTCTTGTCTTTATCTCCAATCACCAGTTGCAACAATTACATTAAGATGCAATTCATGCAGCCTATGTCCTTCTATACAACCAAAATGTCTGAGTTTATTAACTTAGAGCATATCCCATCCCATACTTTTTCTGTACATTTACAGTTATGGAAATTGCCTCCTGGTGCCAAAGCACAGACTATACTTGAAAGGAAATAATGATGATACTAATAATAGTAATACCAGTGTCTTACCCTATCAACCTTCATTATTTGGAATCGCTGAGAAATATCAGCTGTGTTGGCTGGCAGTCGAGATCTTCCTGACACAAACCTCATGAAAAGGACTCTCTCCTCATTAGAAAATTCTTCCAGGGTGTGCCAGAACCACTGCACCAGCTGATGCTGCTCATCAACTTCTCTGTATCGCACAACCTTCTTCAGAACCTCAACTGATATTTCTGGCATTCCACAGACCATCTGCTCCAACTGCTTGGCAGTCAGAAGGGACAGCAAAGGAACGGGCACAATCCAAGACATCCCTTCCCTGACAGCAGCCACCTAATGGCCGAAAACAGGAGAGACATTTGAAGTGCAACTCTGATCTCTGGCACTTCCTGGACTATCCAAGCTGAGAAATGGCACTGAGAGACAGAATTACCAATGTCTTCCAAATACTGCCTCCACACATGCAGTCCCTGCAAGGACTGTATTGTTTCTCAAAATCCCAGAGAATATTGCAGATATTTTTAATTGTAATTGCACATTAAAGAACATGTTCTAATCCAACACAGAACTATTTAAAAAAAATTAGAAGTTGACAGCACAAATAATGATGGCTAAACCAAGCAACTGTTAATAGAAATAAGACTTTGTTCCAATTCACATGTATGGTGAGAATGCTGTACTTGTTCTGCAAGACCTGGGATTTGGTATCTCTGATGAGGAAGCTGTTTTCTAAGAAAGACAGTATCACATAGGCATCTTTACCTTATAATTAACATACTGCTTTCACAAGGGTCCCTATACAAATTACAAAATACACAGAACTATGCAATAGGTAATGAGCACTTCCCAAAACATAGTGAAATATTTGCAGGATTTGTGTTATAACAAAAGAAAAACAGTTTCATGCTAAACAAATGTTTGTTAACAATATTTACTTTAGCCAGTCTCTGTGTTGTTCACATGTCAAGTCAGAGTACCCAGCATGCAAAACTGTAGGTTTTTTTCTCAAGTGGGGCTACTTAAATGGAAGGCCAGCTTTGACTTCTAACACTCTCTTGCCAACTGAGCAATTACTGAGAAAAAAACAAGACTAAATTTTAAAAAAAGGCCAAAACAGTTTGTGGGGAAGAAAAAATACAGAGATGCATAAAGCCACGCTTTTCTTAGTACTGAATAAACTGTAATGGAAATAGGCACGAATTGCCCCCTGTTCCCACTAACAACAGGGGCAGGTCACAACCAGGTTCTTACCTGTCGGTCCATTTCATGGAGTCTGTACTCAATTGCCCTTTCCACATACTCTTTCCTGTTTGAAAAGGTAAGTGGGATACTGTTCCCTCCAGGGATTATGGGAACCATTTTACCATCAGCACTTTGGCCAACAAAAGAATCTAAAGGAATCATCTGTTACACAAAACAGGAAAACCATAAGTCACTCCAGTGATTCAAGCATAGCATTTTACTACAAGTCATCCAGAACTACATGTACTAAGATCACAGACTATTCTAAATGCACAAGTGCTTGTTATCCCAAGAATGGAGACTGAAATTATAGAAATACTGATGTGAAGGTCAATCTGATATAGTAACTGCTTTCAGAATAAATCTAGAAGCACTGACTTTCTTATCTTACCTCATGGAAATTTTCTTCAGTAATCCCACTGTCTTCAATGTGAAGAATGCTGTTGAGGGTCTGCACATAGAGCAGATCTACCTCCTCCAAATCCTCCAAGATGAGTGGGATACAACAAAGTTGCTTCCAAACCATTGGAGCTAAATGAAGATCTAATGGCTTTTTTGTACGAATAGCTACACCCATGAGAATGCCCAAGAACTTAAACTGCATCAGATGTTCATCTAAACATGCTGAAGGGTTAAAGAGAAATCTGAAAGGACAAAGAAGCAGTGAAAAGAGTATTACTTCTATGCTACTTCATTCAAAGTAAAAGGAAAAACACTTGTAAGCACAGCACAGTAACTGCTAGAACACTTATTAGCAAGTGTCCAAATGAGCTTATTCAAATAAGATTATTGTTATCTTTAGCTGTTAAAACATTGGAGGCTGAGGGAGGCAGAACTCCTGAGCACAAAGCCTGGCATCTTGATGCTACTCTGAATTCTGCCATCAGCAATCTAGCAAGCGCACATTAAAGCCATGCCCTGGCTCCACAATGAAGTGACAACATACCCTGAAGGAAAAAGTATACTAGAGACAATAATGAAGTTTCATAATTTGGTATAAAAAAAGTCAATGGAAGATTTGGATTTTCACCCATCTGCAATAAAAGCACATCCTGGACAACTTACCTATCCCTGTTGTAGCCTACTTCAGCTGTAGCATTTGGGGAAGGAATAAGCAGGTCTACTATTCCAGTTTCCAGTTCCTTAAAAAACAACGAAAAAAAAAAAAGCCTTCTTAGAAAGAGGGAAAGCAAACTTATGACAGAACTATTAAGACATTTTAGCATTACAAGACAGAATATTTCACTATGGTGATGATTACTCCTTACAAATTCATATGACACACTGAAGGAAGGTAAACATGGTAGGATGATTTTAAGTAGTCAAGACATGTTTATTTCAAGACCTGTCTTTATGTCAGGCAACAATGTTTTTTTTTTCCTGGGACTGCACTGTGACACATTCCTATTACACATTTCCAAAATATTCACAGATATACCTGACACATTTCTGTAATGGTGTCATCAAACACTCCACCTGCATCATCAGCTCCTTCTCCGACCAGCTTCACTTTCCAGGCACGGGAGGGTAAACGAAGGTCTGATGCAATCAGCTTTACCACTTGCCTTGCTATCTGGACAAAAATGGGCTTGCACTTCCGACCCCTTTGGGGGAAAGACACACAGTCACAAATATAACTCACAATCATGTA